GGGGGGCATTACTGTGCAAATAACAGGTGAATAATAGGGATGCCTATCTTTTTTAGCAAGGAAAGCGATGGCAAAAAAAAAACCTTTAAATCTCCCTTGCATACATTTGCTTTCCACCTGAAGCTTCTGTGAGCTGCACTATTCATGGTTTTGTTACAATCAAGTTTGGGTGATTTCCCTATCGATTTGCTGTCCACGTAGGTGGTGCATTTATTGTGAGATCACCTATAGCAGGTAACAATATTTCAAAAAGCTGAAATTATAAAAAGGAAATGCTGTAGTGGACTAGGTTATGGCTTATCTTTGTGTGATGCATTTCAAAGTATGAACAATATTCTGACTTTGAAAGAGCAACTTAGAACAAAAAAAACCCAGTATCTTGTCTGTACTGATTTAACATGCGCATACAACTTTGTATTTTGCACCACTTTATGTGCGTAGTCTGTGGACTGCCATTTCTGAAACAAAAGGAAGGAATGTTCATTTCTTCATGTTCTAGCTTGAAAGCCATCTGTGTCAATGACTTTAAGCCATACTATATACTCTTCTTTTGCTGGTATAGGGAGTTGGAATGTTCTTTTGGCCATGGCTGCCCAGACCAGCGTAAAGATTCACTGTTGTCTGAAAAATGTTTTCATTTAGACAGGGTGGACACAAATGTTGGGCTGATGTAATTCATTGGCAGCCGTTTTCCATTGTTGCATAATGGTACTTGCTGTCAATGTGTTTGATTGGCGAGAGACACAGAGTGAAGCATAAAAAACGTTTCTTATGAGGCTCTGATGTAGAAACCAGAAAATGAAGCTGTTTTTAATTTACTTAAAAATACTTCCAACTAAAGTAGATTAACATGTTAATCGGTTGTATTATTAATTTTAATGGCTCTCCATTAACTAGCTCATTATTTTCTAATAGGAAATTCGCTTTCTAAAGCTGCATCTGCATTTAATTCTTAAACCTATTTTTTACCTTGTTTTCATGGTATGGTATTTGTCCTAAAAATTTGTTTACTGAAATATCCTGTGTGTTTAAAAAAAAATAAATCTGTTTTTGTTTAGGACTATCGGCTCCAAAAGGCAAACCTCCGCCACTTTTGGCAATGCCAACAAAAAGACCTCCGCTCCTTGGCTTTCCACCAATGTCTCCTGCAAAACGACCACTCCTTGGTGAAAAACCAGGTCTTCTTCCCACTCCTGGTAAGTTTTTTTGTTAGTAAGACATTATCCAATTAAAGGTAAATTACTTTATGTAACAATGAACCAGTGGCGACTCTAGGAACAATATTTAGGGGGGGCACATAAGATACCACAGTCAGATCTGGGGGGGCACTAATAATTTTCATTGCATGTCACAACCGATGGGAGCCGAGAGCTGATTTAAATGCAGATGGCATCTGCGTCCTGCAGCTGCGACAGAAGCTGCATACAGCGTGTGCTGGTTACTACTTAAACTGGCGCGCTGTGTGCAGATTCTGAGAAGATACGCTATTAGCATAGCGATGAAGCCGGCTGCACATTTTGCATCGCTCCCGCTACGCTAATAGTGTATCTTCTCAGAAGCTACACACAGCACGCCGGTTTAAGTAGTAACCAGCACACGATGTATGCAGCTTCTGACAGCATGGGAGACGGGAGGCTGCACTTGTCGGTGGATCCAGGGATCAGAGGAGTATAAACAAAAAAAATATTTTATTTTGTTATGTTTTTTTTTTTTAAATGCGTGTGTTCGCAGGGTCTGGGGCCTTTAATTTTATGGTGGATTTTTTTTTTCTTTCCTTTTTCTATCATATAAACTAAGCTGCTGTGCTGTCTCCCCCAGCCCCAGGCCAGACACCAAGCCTCAACTGCTGCTATCCCCCCAGCCAGCCCCAGACACCTCTCACTTAGCTGCTGCTGCTGTTCCCTTCCCCCCCCCAGCTCCAGATCATTGCAGGCTTACCAGTACAGTGACTTGACTTCACTACACACAGCCATCAAGCTCTGCCACTCTGCTGTGAAAAGCTCCGCGGCCGCCCCTGAGAAAAAAAACCTTCCTGCACGTGGGCAGGAGGGTACCAAAACATCAAATTGGACGGGGGTGTCGTACCAACTGTTCCGTACGACCGCGGCGGACCCTGCAAGGACCAGTCACAAACACCTTGCCGATTCCTGGCGGGGGGGGCACACGGGGGGCAATTGCCCCCCTGTAGCGACGCCACTGCAATGAACTAAGCAGTGTGGCTCAAATTAATGGCAACCATTTGAAAATGGTTATCTATTTGTCAATATTAAACTGTTCACTGTTTAGTCATATATGTTGTTGTTATGATTGTTAAGTTACTAAAAGCTCATTGGGCCTACTAAGATTACTCAATACCAATCAGAATATATATTATATCAGAGACGTCCATAAAAGGAATTGTGTGTCCAAAAAAACAAACAAACAAAAAAACCTGCGCTATCTGCCCCCTATGTGTATATCTACTCCTACTGCCGACTAATCAGCAGAGGAAAGTGACAACTAAAATAACGTTGAATTTTATTTAACACACAATCAATATATCGGTGAAATAAAATCAATAAAATGTATCAGACAAATTCCATAAATTCAATGGTGAAAAAAAAGGGAATAAGAGTCCATGTGGTGTTAAAGTTCATCAAAATAGTAATATGGATCAATTGACACCAAGATAAGTGCTCTTTATCTCTGTGTTCCACCTTCGTGTAATCAGTCTCTTTTTGTCCACTCACGAGATTCTCCCGTTAATACAAACGATTGTTACAATGTCTCCTCCACATCCTATTTCCCTGGTAGTAATAATTTTTTTCGGATTTCACTTTTATCTTTTCTTTTGAACAATTTGTTTTATCCTCTCCATATATAGATAATCTCCTCATCCCCCGAATATTATATCAATCCAAGGTTAGATTATTCAGCTATGCAAAAAACACTGCACATAGCATAAAATCCTTGGATACATTTATTGCGCAACTACAAATAAAACGACTTACATGATAACTACTGTAAGACATCGATGTACAAACAAATCTCGCCTCAGTCTTTTGCAAAGACATGTTTTCACCTCCCCGCTTTTCAGTATACCGCTGTCAGATGTGACACTCAAATCAATGACGGGGTGGCTGCATTTTTATTTGCATTTTTCAAGACCGGGAATATTATGATAGAGAGCAGAGTGAGCAAAAACATGACCTCCGTGTGCTACTGCTACAATTTCCTTGTCCATGCTTGAGTGTGTGCTGACCCATTCTTTTCTTGTCCATTGAGGGATACAGGAAGTTATCTACTGTCGAGTTATGCTGCCCTGCCACTGGAGGGTTGTTCACTGGAAAAACAAAACTGTAGTCCAGCCCAGGATTTTCCCCTCATTGCCCCATATGCCATGCATTTTGCTAGTGTCCCAGGAGAATGGAAGTATTTTCCTCGGGGAAAAACATCTTAATCATATTGTTTTTTCCCCCCAATTCTTTAATCCTTGTGCATTCAAGATTCCTTGTTGCTTGACCTGGTCTCTACAAGTTAGCCATCCAGATTGGCCTTTCCTTAGCCTAGTTTTAGAGTGCCATACCTGCACTCTGCTGGACTGGACTTAGGAGTGGAGCACGTTCCTGGTCCAGAGCTTCTAACATTGTCACTGTGCTTGCTCTGTCTTTGAAGACTCGCTCTGTGAGTAGGCCAATCACTGCCGCACGGTCACAACCTGTCTGTATCTAGACACAGGGGGGATAGTCCCGCTGCAATGGGTGTCCCCAGCTCATGCTTTCCTAATGGTTCCCGGACAACTACTCTGTACCTTCTAAGGGCACCAACATCTGGAATCCTGCTACCCTATGGTTATATCAACTATCTATCTCATCCAAGTCATTCTTGGCTCTGTCGGAATAAGGCCATGCCTTGTCAGGAGACTCTACTGCAGTCCAAATGTATCCAATTCTTTGCAGATGCTGACCGCAGAGGCTCTATGCATGTTCCTGAACCTTCCCCTGTAGAGTCAATTTCTGATCTCCATGTGGTCTTTGCAACCAATGTCCTGGCCTCTGTGACCATCTTTGACTCAGAATCTGGGTCACCATACTCACTCTCACTAGGCCAGTATAGTCTACTGACCAACAGCTAGTATCCTGCCTTTAAATACAGTAAAGAATCAGTTGTCACTATCCTTCTGTAGTAACAAGCAGCCAGCATACTGTTTTTTATAATCATTATTTGCAGTGCATTAAAATTCAATTTGCATCCTTTGTCTTCTCTGTTGATAAATATTCCATGGCTCTCCTCCATCCAAGATCAAACCATTGCTTTAAATTTGAATGCAATATCTACTGTGACCTGGAAACGCTCACCAGATGCTCTGACCCCACTGATCAACAGAGGTTGGGTCACACTATGTGTTCTCTCACCACATCTATACCCACTACAGGTAAGAGTAGATCTCATGCAATATGTGGTACCTGGTGTCTGTCTCCGGAATCCAGAACACCCTGTACCCATTACAGATACCACTGCACAGACCTTCCCCTGCCCCGTTGGGGGTCTCCTCATCCTAGGTGGTGGTGCTCCAATTCTTGTTTCAAGTCAGCCTCAGGAGCTTTGTCCAGCTCTGGTCACTGCCCTTTCCCTCAGCAATTATTTTCCCTTGGGCCCATTAGTGGTACCTAGTACCCATCAATGTCGTCATCCCCTCTCCTCGAGAGGGACCTTCTGGCCTGCTCAGTCAACTGGGGTCAACACTGATTGTTCCCCTAACCAGCAGGGTTCTGAATCCTTAGTTTAGCCTCTGCATACCAAAGCTTTGACTTTGATTCAGAATGTTGGCTCCAGTGTCTACCCTAGAACCTTCTTATGGCATCCCCACTGTGGACAGTCCGGCGACCTATGAAGAGATCAATCTCTGTGGGTCATAGTTAATGAAATTCCCCTGATTGGCTACTTGCCTACTAGATCCAGTCAGGCCTGGTTTTGTCAGTGATTGACACTGAAAACTGTCAGGGTCCGGCCGGTTACCTTATCCAGCATAGTTCTTCGGCAAGGGGAGCAACAGCTTGTTCGACATCATGACCCATGCCAATAACCAGGGATCTACCCATTTCTCAACCTTTGCAGGATTGTTGGGTGAGGGCCAATCCTCTCTGAAACACTTACCTTCTCCCATCTCTTTTAGTCCTATCTCATCTCTTTAGTCCACTCTTGTGGGTTTATTACCTGAGCAGACTTATGCCTTCCTACTATGCATCACATAGTTCTTGACATGATTGCTCATCTTTCCTATTAAACAGCTGATGAGGACTACTCTCCCCATCTCTGGGCTACATTCTGAATAAACAGAACAGGTGATTCCTGTACAGTACAAGACCCCTCTTTGGTCAGGTCTTCTGGTTCGGATACTGCTGGGCACCATCTAGGTACTGGTGTGTCTTTACCACCCAGGAGGAACAAAGTCCTTCCTTGACAAGAGAGGCTGTTTGGTTCTTGTTGTGGACTAAAACATGGATCTTATGCTTACCTGTGCAGATTCCCTTAAGGGTGGTTCTCTGGAGGCCAGTTCTTCCCAACTTGTAGCTTCTAGACATGAAGAGGAGCGGTTCATGTACCAAGTAGCATTCAGACCCTGTGTGCAGGTGAAGGGATATTAAGAAAGGTACCCCTATTACTATGGGCTGTCCTGGGCAGGTCAAACTAGTCTCCTGCAGCAAGAGGGAATGCCTTAAAGAATTTGTGGGACATGTCTACCTGGGGTTAGGCCCCTCTTCTTTGGCCGATTCACATACTTGTGAAGTAAGCCTTGCTAGTACGTTTGTTTTTTTTTAATTCACTCAGGCATATATACATCACTGTCCTGGTACAACTCCTGTTGCTGCTTGCGCAGATGCTGCTGTTTCATTTAGATCTGGGGAGTCCAGAGCATTTTGGTGGTCTTCCCTGGTAAATCTCTCCTCGCTTGATCCCTTACCTTGTTGACAGGTTGGTTTTTTTTTTTCTTTTTCCTAACAGAATTTGTTTCATCATCCCTTTTTGGTGGTTTGGGGTTGACTAGCTGCTCACTTGGGCCATGGCTCAGTGCTCCTATCTGTGTTGAGCCCTTTCTCTCTCTGGTTGGTGACCATTTTATTGCTTGGGCATTAGGTTGAATTTCTTTTTTTTTTTCCCTCTGTTTTGGCCTTATCCGGTGTCCCATTCAGGGGTTGGTCCTTCCGACTGCTCTTTGGCTGCAGGAAGTCCCCAGTTATTTTTTTGTTGGGCCTGTTTGTGGTTGTTTTCTGTTCCCCACTCCTCAGTTGGGCATCCTCCAATGGTGGATGACTTCCTGCGTCCATTAATAAGGAAGAGAGAAACGAGAGTATTTTTGTACTCGGCATATAATCCTTTTCTTGGAGTTCTTTTGAGGGACACTGGTTCCACCCCCTCTGTGCTTGATAATTAAGTTTGTACTACTTTCTACAAACTGATGCGGGATACTCCTGGTTTATAGATATATTTTTTTTGCCAGTGTCCAATCTTTCTGTAGGCGGCAATAATATTGGACAGGTAATGCTTTTCTCTGTCTCTCAATCGACTCCAGGAAAATAATTTTACGGTGAGTAAAAAAAAATCCTATTTCCTTCCCGATCCTCAGTCAGATGCATACTTCTCCTAAGGCAATCGGATATTCCCTGGATTAACACTCTCCCACCAATCTCTGTGCTGCTTTTTCCATTTGTCTCACAATTTTTGCATTCAGTTTTGTAATCTAGAAATACTAAGAATCTTCTCCGCAGGCAGTCTGCCAAATCTGGCCCTAAGGCTCTAGTATTCAGCAGTCGGCAGCATTTAGAGCAGGGGCGCCCACTATTTTTCATCTGGAGATCTACTTTTCAAATGACGAGCTCATTGAGATCTACCAACGAAAAAACACCTGCATTCAGGGGCGGGAGGGGGCGTGGCGGTGCATTGAAGTCAATGGCACTGCAGCCAGGCTCCGCAGGCAAGCCCCTCGCCCACAGTGCGATCGACCGGATTAGTGCCTGTGTTCCAGTCCAGTGAGATCCGCAAAAATGCTGCAAGCACTATTTTTGCAGATCACATTGGAGCGGAATGCAGGCACTAATGTGCCTGCGTTCCGAGTGCGGGCGATCGCAATGTGGGCGATGCCATTGACTTCAATACAGCTCCACACCCCTTCCCGCACCTGAACGCAGGGAGTCGGCCGGCTTACATTCCAGTGCGCCCTACATGTCCCGGCGTCCTGTCCTCCCGTGGTGCTCGTGTGGCTGACGTTGCACATGGGGTGTCCTGCACCTTTCCATCTGCAGCGTCTGACACATTCAGCCAGCAGCCGCACGAGCACCACGGGAGCATAGCCGTAGCCAGCTCCTTTTGCGCTGAGGCAAGAAAAAAAAAACAAAGTTTTTTTCTAATTTATTTTCATTTTTTATTTTTTTTAATTTTCGTGATTTTTTTTTTTTTAACTCTTGGGTGGGCTTTGGGGAAATATTAGGGGTCTAAAAAGCCCCCTGATATTTCCCTTTTAAAATAGAAAAAGAAATTGAGGACATAAAGTCCTCAATCTTCTTTTTTTCTGCAGCCTCTATTCTAAATGAATGGAAAGCACAGAGGCTTCCCATTCATTCAGAAAATATTTTACTATCAAGCAGTTTCTGAATGGGGAGGAGCCTCTGTACAGAGTGCTTCTCCCCATTGAGAAACTCATGAACGGGACGTGATGTAAATCACATCCTGTTCATTCATTTATAACTGGGGACACAGTACTATGTGTCCCCAGTTATTTACAAACACTGGAGTGATCAGACGATCGCTCCAGTGTTTGTCCTGCACAGAGGATTGGTACATACTACTGACATGTACCGATCCTCTGTCCTTTGTCCTAGGACTTAGTGAACTGGTAAAGGTGGTACTTTTGGATCCACTTTTTGTTAAGTACTGTGCTTTAGCTCAATACAAGAGGATGGAACCCATATCCACACAGGCTGACCTCTGATAGAGTGCAGTTAATATTTGTCATGATGTGTGCCCATGGGACCATGCACTATGCCGCCTTAACGTGATTTAAGCTGGCAGTAAGGGCCTTGTTGCACCTCCACTAACTGTCATGAGTATTCAGAAGTGTATGATGGGTTCCAGGAGCATTTTGACTTATTTTTCTTTTTCATGGGTGTCCTGGTAAGTTCCATTCTTAGTTATTTGCATATACAGGTGAAACTCGAATAATTAGAATATCGTGCAAAGTTCATTTATTTCACTAATGCAACTTAAAGGTGAAACTAATATATGGGATGGACTCATTACATGCAAAGCAAGATAATTCAAGCCGTGATTTGTCATAATTGTGGTGATTATGGCTTACAGCTCATGAAAACCCCAAGAACCCCAAATCCACAACCTCAGAAAAGTAGATTATTACATGCAATCAATAAAACAAGGATTGTACATAGAACAATATCGGACCTCTGAAAAGTACAAGCATGCATATGTACTCAGTACTTGGTTTGGGCCCCTTTTGCAGCACTTACTGCAATTACTTTTGCACGATATTCTAATTATTCGAGTTTCACCTGTATGTGTCAGTGGTCACTTTGTTTCCAATGAGATCTACTGAGTAGCAGGAGTTTGTAAAGTCACAATAAGAGTAGATGTTTTATCTATCAAATATATTTGAATGTCAGCCCAGCACCTTTTGGTTAAGCTTCCTACTTCAAACTGTACAAGTACAGTCTTTGTCATAAATGTAAAAAAAATTAGACCAGATTTATCAGAAAGAAATTATTCCGCTCTCGAAGTAGAGAAGAAAAAATGTCCAACCTTGTATACATTGCGCTAGTTTATTACACTAATTATTGTGGTCCTGGTTTTCCTATATCATCCCCTAAAAGTTACTTCTATTTGATACTAGGAAGAGTTGCTGTGAATACTAGTAGCTGTAGCCAATAAATTATTAAGGAAAACAAGGAAGGATCTGGAGTCGAGAGCTGCTATTCGTAACCCTGTTCTCATTTACGATTTGGTACAGTAAAACTAAGACTGTTGTCTAGGAAGGCATATCGTACTGCTGTGATAATCTTTTGTGTTTTGTATTTCTTCTCTTGACAGCTATTTCTGCAAATACCAATTCACACCTCTGGCCAGTGAAACCTAAACCTTTACTCCAGTAAATACAGAAGATCCAGTCCTGCCAGCGACTATTGTATGTCCAGTTGTACTTGTAATTCAGTATTAGAGCAGTGCAGCAGTAATGTGTGAAAGTCCCTACATTCCTATAGGAGTATTTTTTTTCCCCTAATGATGGTTACATTTTTCCTGTCTGGACAGTGACAAATTATAATTTTTTGTGCAGTGCAACCATATCTGGTAGCCAGCAAGTTATCTTTGTTTTGTTTATATAACATTTTGATTATTTTGTCTGTTTCTTCAGAGAGAAAAAAACTTTTACATAACTTCTTGTCTGATCTATTTGTTTGTGAAAAATTATATACATATATATATACATTCAGCAAAGCTTCATACAGTAATAGGGTCAACATTTATTCAATTTATGATCAAGTATGAGCAACCATATCCATGCTTTTCTTTTTAAAATCGACACTTTAAAAGGAGCCTGTGAGGAAGATTTGTATCTTCAAAAATAGGTCAGCCACAGAAAGTAAAGCTGTCCATATATTCCCCCATCCACCCTGGGAATCCCCACTGATGGCTATTGTGTTCAGCTGTGCCTCACTGGATGCAGGCTCTGTTCAGCCAAAAATTTCCGGACCTACGTCTCCAGGGAAAAGTTTGAAAAACACAACTAGGCTTTTGCAATAAACCAATAAGCATCCCGACCGTTCATCTTGAGCTTTAAAGTGGAACTATGTGCAGAATAAACAATAACACAGTATATGATGCTGTCCCTCTTTTATTCTATAGGGTCTTGGCATTCAGAAAATATATAATGTTGGGGGGTTTTACATCATTTTCAGGCCTAAAATGTGGAATATAACATGGGTGCAAAAATTGAAAAAAGGGCCTCAGTCATGAAGGGGTTAAAACAGCAGTCCTTGTTTTTCGGAGTTTCCTGTTTAATGTAAATTCCATCTAGTAGTCCATGTAACACCTCTACACAAGTTTGTGAAAAGGACACCGCTCACATTCGTATGCCCCAACTCATCAGTCCCATCCAAAAATGCTGGCTGCAGGCCAACGGAAGCATGCTATGGCTGTCACCAGTATTCCAATGTATGTAAAGCCGCACTTAACAGCCAGGACCTCATTGTAAAAAGGTTTATTCCCAGGAATCTACAATGTTGCAGTGCCTGTGGATCTGGTCATGCTTCTAACATTGTAGATTCCTGGGGATAAACCTTTTTTATGTTGAGTTCCTGGCGAGTGCAGCTTTACATACATTGGACCCCCCTTTACACAGGTTGATAATTCTGCTGTCCAGGGGTGGCTACATTGTTCCACAGATCTAGTTGAAGAGTGATTGTGGCCACCCTAAGGGACCGTTCACGCAATCTCCAGTGCATTCCAGTACGGTTAGCTGCTGGAACGCACTGAATTGAATACTGTGAGCCTTCCTGCGTTCTGGAGTCGGAGGGGGCATGGCGGTGCATCCAAGTCAATTGCACCGCATCCACACACCACCGGACTAGAACGCCGGCAAGCTCAGAGTATGCAATCCAGTGCATTCCAGCTGGAACGCACTGGAGATGGTGTGAACTGGCCCTTCGACAAAGTGTTACTGGCTGGCTCACTGGGTGAAAAAAAGGTCTAAAAAGGAAAACTAATGCCAAGTCAGTTGCTGCTCTGCCCACTGTCTGGCCTCACAAACTGTTTCTGAAAGTGCATATTTGTCGTATATGCCCTGTAAAAAATGTAAGCAGATATTTGTCTGCACTTGATATTTTTGGGCACGTAAGAGTTGGGACAGTGGGTCATGTCAGGCAGTTGACAGGGCTGACTTCTGAGGTTAATGTCTGTTGGCACCCATAACCTGCATATTGATATTCATATGTGTAATTCTGTTTCGTCAAGCTTGCAATAATACAGGGGTGTACAAATGAATATGGAATTCAGTCTGTCCAGTCCAGGAGACAGCAGGATTTTTTTATGGAGCTCCATTAACATTTAGGGAAAACCTCAAACGTTAGGCGCCGGTTATAATTTTTAGGGAGCATCACCAACTTGGCTCCTGGGATTTGTTCGGCCCTGCAATTAATAAATAGCTGTCAAAGACTTCAGAGGGCAGTCAGATGTGCAGGCGCAATCTGACCCTTGTTTAACAATCTCTGGATTTATCAAATGCCTGAGAACAGGTGCATGTGTAGGACTATTTAGGGAAGAAGCATTGTGGATACCTTTTTTAGATGCTGGCTTCTTGGGGAAAGCTGTATTGACAAAACAAGATTTTCTAAAATCCTTTGTGTTTGCTTCTCCTTCCGACCATCTTAATCTTGTTGCATTAATCTAAAGTGTCAGTTTTTGTCAGCCATCAGTCATTATGGAGTAAAGCTGGCCAAACACTGTATTAATTTTTTTCAGTGGGTGGCCTTATCTGCATCCTTCTGTCTGGCATCCTTCCATCAGAAAATGGAAGTAGCTGGATGGAAAATTTTCCAACAGGGATGTCAACCGATCAGAGCCATCACTGTTTGGGTATTCTGACAGTGGCATGCCCACTGCAGTGTGTTAAATTTGAAAAGCACTCCATAAAGCTCCTGTTGTTTTAATACTATATTAAAATATTTCCATAGTTCTATCTCCCAGCAGGGAAACAATAACAAAGGTCCAACACCACTGGAAACTGTAGCAAGAGCCTGCTGAGTTCATTTGATCTCACTTTTTAGCGGATGTTGAATGGGGTGATCAATAAAAATTACTTCTTACTTTAACCTTGCAGGTAAGACTTTCATCGCATATGACTCAAGAAAAGAATATCAATGTTTGTCTAGATGGTAAAGGTCCCTTGAATTCTCACCAGAAACTATCCAAGCTCTCAAGATATCTGCTAAAGATGTAAATGCAAAAAAGGATCTTTGTAGCAATCATTTACCTTCCTTGCTTCAGCTGCACGTCTCTTAGGGCCCATGGCCACACTATCTTCCGGTTTTTACCCCAAGTGCAGCAGCCAATCAGGCACAGCCACATCATTTGGCCAAATCTTTGAAGTATTTGTGAACAGCAACAATAAAGGAGCATTTTAATACATCAAATGGTATGTTATGACTGTAATTGAATTTACCTTTTAAAAAAAATAAAGGTTGTTTACTGTTTTTATACGTTTTTTTTTCCCCCCGCAGTCATGTGACTGCGCAGCCTCTTCCACGCCCCTCTTCCTTTTAACATGTCTGTTATGTAGGTGCTGAGGGATAGGTATTGCACCTTTTATTGGCTGATGATTGACTGCAATGTGCATGTTATTTTTACAATAGGGCAACTACTGGCACTTCCTTGCACTTGGATCTGTTTAACTTTCCTGTATAAATCTTTCTGGTACATCAGTTGTCTGTTACCATAACCCTAATTAGACACCATGTATCAGTTTTGCGGCTGTTGACACGGCAGGGCTGAGCAGGGGGTGTAGTCATCACCCTGGGGTTGACTAACTGTAGGGAAGGCAGGCACCATGTCTGTTGAGGGCAACTGTTGGCAATAGCCATGCCAGCACTAAATGTGTCTGAGTGTTTTGCAGCCATCCACACAGCATAGCTGGGCATGGGGAAAATGGTGGTTGAATTGACTATGGGAGATACAGTTAAGCCATGCGTTAGCTGTATTCCCAAAGAGAAATCATAGACACAAACTGACTATACGCCACAGATCTGATTGCGTGCTTAGTGTGGTCAACTTAGAGCAAGACAGAAAGGTGACTGGTAGGATCAGTCAGGTATTCTACGTGAACCTTTTATTTAATATAAAAGAATGTGAAGTTTAAACTTGGCATATTTAAAGAAACAAATATAGCTTGAAAATATATTTTAAAGGAACAAACACTTTAATGAGCCTCTGTACACTATATGGACAGATGCCTGAGCATCGTCCTTTGGTACTGCTCAGGGCTTCTTCCTGGCGTCCTGGTTGCAAGTACTGTGGACAGGTGCCTGAGAAACGCCCTTTGGTACTGACCCAGAATTCTTTCCCCATTCCATGGTTGCTTGCTACGCTACTGAGGTTACCTGGTATCCAGAGTTGTAGTTCACCTCTCTTGTTGCCTGGTATTGTGGTCCACAGTTCCACCAATCCGGTCAACTGGTATCCTAATGCACTGCTCCGCTTTTCCAGAATGCCTGGTATTCAGGTTCCTTCTCGTGGTCTTCTATCCGCCACTCCAGCTTGGTATCTTGTTCCTCTATCCTGGCCGAATTCCTGTTACACTTCCCTGCATGTCAGTACACTGGTATTCCAATAGGCAAGGCTTGATATTCCATTATGCTGGGGCTCTACACACCACTCTGGCTGCACCACTCGAGTTCTTGATGGTACTGCTGGACATTACTGCTGGACATTTCTGCTATGTGTGCTAGTATCTGGGGAGGGGAAATCAGGGTAGGGTCCTGTACTTTGCAGTCGCTTGGTTCATTAAAAAATTATATTAATATACTTGGTGGATGTCTTGCATTGTTCCAAGAGTTGGGGGTGGATCTCTTCTCTCTGATGCCCTCAGCCAAAATTAACATTCTCAGATCTTATCTTTTATATGTGTGGTTTGAATCCCTAGATAGTTGAAGATCCAAGATAATCTTGCCATACCAGAATGGTCTCCATCAATGTACTCCATGATGCAAGTTGGGGAACAGATGGTGTCTAGTCATGACAAACACTGCACCTTCGGGCCCATTTGGTCAGGCTTCTGCTTTGTACTATGTTATCCATCTAGTATTTCCTATGCTAACCTAATAATCAGATAACATTTTGCAGGGATGAGTAGATGGGTCAACTTTCAGTGCAGTTAAACTGACTGTAGCCACTGTCCAACCGCACTTCTGAACCCGATGAAGGGTGGGGAAGCCAGATGCTGTTGTTAAAACTTATCGACCTATATCTGTACTGTTGTTTGCACTGCAGCTGAAAATGAATCCAATCTTTGGATTTGCGAACCAGTTGTGTGGCAGCCCTTAACACTATATAGCTCACTGAAGGTGAAAGCTGCATAAATCCATTTTGAAGCAAGGCTTTTGGCAACAAATTCATTAGTTTGTGTACAGGAAGGAAATATTGGCCAAAAAATGGTTAGGGACCTGTAGTAACTAATGGCAAAAGTTCCAATGGGCATGAAGTGGAAAATAACAGCTAAACTGATTATTTGCTAATACTGTTTACATCCTAATTCTGGCTAACAAAAATGTGTTGGGGTTTTTTTGGCCAAAATGTACGGCTCTTTTCTTTTAAAGTGGAAGCTATATAGTGGTTTTTAGTCTTTTAGACATGTACAATCACAACAGTTGTTGTTTTTTGTT